CTGGTGAGTGGACGAAGTAGGCAAGGTAGAGGTCCAGCTCCTTGACCGTCACCCCGATGTGGTGCGGTTGGACGCACAGGCCGTGGTTGGAGCACTGGGGCGACTTGACCAGCCGCTCGCCATCCGTGCTCTCCAGGGGGCTTCCCTTGAACAGGATGACCATCACCAGGTCCAGCCGCCACACCTTGTCCGCCTGGCGGAGGCAGTCGATGCGGCGGATCTTGCCCTTCTGGTCGGGGTTGGACAGCACGCAGCACGGGGGCTTCTTCCCCGTGATGGTGAGCACAAAGTCCTCGCGGAACTCCGGCCGGATGTCCTTGCGGAGCTTGGCCAGCAGACGCGAGGCCCACTTCTGCTTGATCTCCGGCTTCTCCCCCAGCAGCTCGTCCTTCACCGCGCGCTCCTCGTCCTTGCTCATCCTCTTCTCGTGCTTCTTGAAGTATTTACGCTTGCGGGCCTGCAGGTTGAACCAGGTGTAGGAGAAGGCACGGACATGGGGAAGGAGGGCCTCGATGAAGGGATGAAATTCATCCTGGAAAAGACAGAACGGTCGTTGAGAAGCTTCAGTGGGAGAGAGACAGAGCCGTGTTTAAAAATGATTCATTCGATATTATTTATTGAGTTAAATGTGAAAAAGGTTTCACGTTTAATTGTGAACAACCAGGCAAACACAAACAAACAGCTGTTTTTCATCGTTTCAAACACAACAATAAACGTCTAAAAGCAGAAAACTCCACAAAGCAGGAAGTAGAGAAACGCCGAGCCCAGCGGCGCTCCCAGGTCTCTGCGCTGAAAACACACACCAGGTGTCCCGGAGCGCCGCAATACCTTCACTACAAATCTCTGGGCCACAAAGCCCAGGTCTCGCCACAGCGTTCCTGTGCCAGGGTCGCCGCCGCCGCCGCCGAGCTTTGTCGCCACCAGACCGCTGTTGAAGCGTGCTGCTAAAAGATCAGCCATCACATTTCCTGTCTGCGCTAGCACACACACGCACACGGGAGCTCCGACCGGACTCACATTTCCACAACAAACTGACAGCAGAGAGAAACACCACAGAAGACCACACTGCTCGAGGAAGACAGACGGCCTGGTAGTTACCATTTTGCACTCTCATCATAAATTTGGCACGGCGTTTAAAGTGAAAAAAACCTCCTGCACCAGTTCCTTCCACAGCTCCTCCCGCGCTCCCCAACGTACAGCCGGAGCCGGATTGGCAGGAGCGGAGAACTGGCAGATAAAAAAACTTGGACGGAAGACGCAAATAAATAATTAGCAGACTGGGCTCGCTAAAACCGGAGCGTTCAGACAGAAGAGCCGGTTCTCACGGCGGGAGGAGGACATCTAAAGTAGTTTGGGAGTAGAAGAGAAGGAGTTTGGGCTCTGTCAGGACGAGAGCTCCCTCTCAGAGCTCCGTGAGGAGTTAGAAATCCTGTTCATGTTAAAAACACGGAAAAATGTTCAAATCTTGGAAAAAAATCCTCGGAAAAGTGTAATAGGTGTCTTTTTGTGATCCCTCGGCCTGGCTTACACACACACACACACACACACAAACACACACACACACACACACACACACTGATGGGGGGGCAGGGAGAGCCGAGCACAGAACAGAAGAAAAAAAAATAGAGCCGAATGAATCAGTGTTGGACGAGCGCATGCGACCGCTGGCAAAGCCGAGTGCTGCTTGTTTTTTCCCTTTTCCTCTCCAACTCTCTCTCTCTCTGCTTCTTGCTGGCCGTCGCTCGTCCTCGCCGCGTTCCTTCCCTAACCAGTGCTTGAGCCTCTGCCAGCGCCAGGAGAAGGCCCACCTATTTGGCAACGAGATGCCTGCAGCTCAGCCAATGCTTTCACTTGGAGAGCTGAAAGGGAGGGGAAAAGGGGGAGGGAGGGAGGAGAAAGGGTGAGGGGTGCGGAGGAAGGGAAAAGCATGCAGAAAGAGAAAGGAGGAGAGGGATGGATGGATGGAGGGATGGATGGAGGGGGAGCAGGTGGGGGAGTGAGGGAGCCAAATCGACAAGTTTCCACCCCGACGCAGGGCAAAGTTCAGGGGAGCAGGTCTCCTCCTCAGGCTGCCATCTTTACTATGGCCGCCGCCATCGTCACTCGGTCTCCCCCACGCTACTTCCTGTGCTGCGCTCCTCTACGTCCCTCCGCTCGCACAATGCCACCTTGGCAGAGGATGGCAAAGCGAGGACGCGCCGCTCCAGAGTCCCCGCAGACCCCTCCGCCGCCGGCAGCTGCTCGCCGGTTTGCCACAGCAAACAAAGAGGCAGAAAGCGCCACACACCCAAACGCAGCCCGTCCACGAGCAGCCGGGGGGGGGGGGGGGGGGGCGGCACCAGACGCTTCAAACTGAAAAACAAGCAGGAGGTAAGCCAAGGGCATCGGCGTCGAAGCACCGAATCCCGCTCCCGCTCCTCCAGGGAGAGTTCAGGGAACTCTTCATCATGGTGATTGGGAGCTACACCTGCTCTACGGACAGATCCCCCGACACGTCTCTGATGCACCGCCAGACCGCTCCAGCGCCTCTCGTGACTCTGTGGGACAAATCTGATCCAAAAGCAAGCTGGTGTCAGTTTAAAACACGCACCATCCACCACAGAAGTCCTTATCCGACAGCACCGACCCTCCGAGGACGCAGGAGGGAGAACCTGCTGCTGGGTGCAGACTTCTCTCTGCCTAATATAACACATGCATGAATGTCTTCCACACACCTGGTTCTGATCTGTGCTGAGGAACATTTATCAGGTGTGGCCACCTGTGATCAACTCACTTTAGATGCAGAAATATTCATAAATTAGGTTTAAAACAGATCATTTCCTTTAGAAATGTTCATCTGACCCAGGAGTCCTGAAACGGCTCTGCTCTCCGGGTCTGGACCTGAAGGTGAGTCGGTTACAGGATGGAACTGAGGAACCGGGTGGACTTTCATCTGCATGAAGATTAAAAAAGATTCATGACTAATAAAGCAGAAAACTGCATTAAAGGGATTATAATCTCATGTCTCTTCACTCATCTCTACGTCTGTCTGGCCTAGCTCTGATCATCCTGGATTATTTAGTTTGAGATTGGGACAGATTAGGGAAAACATCAGACCTGCTGCAGGGAGAGGGTTTCCGACAGGAACCAGTATGCTGCAGAACCCGGTTCTAGTGAGGGGAACCTGACAGAACCTCGGGGCCTCCGGCAGACACGGCCTGCACGCGCATGCCCACGTGCGTGAGTGAGTGCGCGCTGCGGGATCATCGACCCTCACAGATCAGACTCCAACCGGAGAAAAGCGCATTGAGGAGTCTGCGCCAAACCCGCTGCGCCATTTGGCACACCTGCGTTGAAGTGCGGGCTCTTTCTCATTCAGCGCCAACGAGAGACACGAAATCAGCCGGAAATGAAATCACGACTCCATTCCCCTCGAGCTGAGCCCATTCTCATGAGAAAACGCGGGTCACGTGCTAAAAGCAAAACAAACACCTGAAGCCGACAGGTAAACCAGCCCCAGCGCGAGTCACCAGCAGCACTGACGGGAGGTTTCCGCCGGAAATAAAAAAAAACGTCTTCATGAGTTCAGAAAACTCAGCCAAGACAATTAAAAGTGTGTCATCGCTTCCGTTTTCCCTCAGGGCATTCCTAAAGGTGGAGTCCACCGGTCTTCTAACAGCCAGAGAGGAGAGGCTTGAGCAGGCCTGAACATCTGGAACATCTGGCTCCGTCACCAGTAGAAGTTATACAGCTGAGGCTGAAACCAGCAGCATCTCAGGACAAAAGACTGGATTTAGCTCCTGAGAGGACCCGGCTGGCGGCGTCACACCAACAAGTCCTTTTAGCATTTCAGCCCCATTTACATCACCAGCACCCACAACATCTTCTTCAGTAGTTTTATTATAATCCAAGTTAGAAACGTTACACAGAAGCAGTTCAATTCATTATCGTTCACTTGACATATTAAATTAAAAAAATAAAGCTAAACTATTTATTTAGTTAAATATTTATGTAATATATATGAGATTACAAAAACATACATCATGTGACGTGACACATTAAATAAAAATATAGAGCTAAACTGCTTATTTAGTTAAATATTTATGTAATATATATGATATTACAAAAACATACATCATGTGACGTGACGCATTAAATAAAAATATAGAGCTAAACTATTTAGTTAAATATTCATGTAATAAATGTGAGATTACAAAAACATACATCATGTGACGTGACATTAAATAAAAATATAGAGCTAAACTATTTAGTTAAATATTTATGTAATTTATATGAGATTACAAAAACATACATCATGTGACGTGACACATTAAATAAAAATATAGAGCTAAACTATTTAGTGAAATATTTATGTAATAAATGTGATATTACAAAAACATACATCATGTGACGTGACATTAAATAAAAATATAGAGCTAAACTATTTAGTTAAATATTTATGTAATAAATGTGATATTACAAAAACATACATCATGTGACGTGACACATTAAATAAAAATATAGAGCTAAACTATTTCGTGAAATATTTATGTAATAAATGTGATATTACAAAAACATACATCATGTGACGTGACATTAAATAAAAATATAGAGCTAAACTATTTAGTTAAATATTTATGTAATAAATGTGATATTGCAAAAACATACATCATGTGACGTGACATTAAATAAAAATATAGAGCTAAACTGCTTATTTAGTTAAATATTTATGTAATATATATGATATTACAAAAACATACATCATGTGACGTGACATTAAATAAAAATATAGAGCTAAACTATTTAGTTAAATATTTATGTAATAAATGTGATATTGCAAAAACATACATCATGTGACGTGACATTAAATAAAAATATAGAGCTAAACTGCTTATTTAGTTAAATATTTATGTAATATATATGATATTACAAAAACATACATCATGTGACGTGACATTAAATAAAAATATAGAGCTAAACTGCTTATTTAGTTAAATATTTATGTAATATATATGATATTACAAAAACATACATCATGTGACGTAACACATTAAATAAAAATATAGAGCTAAACTGCTTATTTAGTTAAATATTTATGTAATATATATGATATATTTAAAAACATACATCATGTGATGTGACATTAAATAAAAATATAGAGCTAAACTGCTTATTTAGTTAAATATTTATGTAATATATATGATATTACAAAAACATACATCATGTGATGTGACGCATTAAATAAAAATATAGAGCTAAACTATTTAGTTAAATATTCATGTAATAAATGTGAGATTACAAAAACATACATCATGTGAGGTGACACATTAAATAAAAATATAGAGCTAAACTATTTAGTTAAATATTCATGTAATATATATGATATTACAAAAACATACATCATGTGACGTGACATTAAATAAAAATATAGAGCTAAACTATTTAGTTAAATATTTATGTAATATATATGATATATTTAAAAACATACATCATGTGACGTGACACATTAAATAAAAATATAGAGCTAAACTATTTAGTTAAATATTTATATAA